TAAACCCGAAATAATATTTAACCAGGGACATTTAGAATACATTATTCTAAGGTTATTTATTATGAATAATTAAAACACAGAACATAATATATACATAATAAAATGGGCAATGCCTTTATATTTATCAATTTAATGAAACAAACTCAAAGTTACAATCATCATATGATTGGTTTTTGGGCATTCACTAACACAAGAAACAAAGTGTTCAACTCAATCTTGTCATTCGAGTTTCTAGCAACCATATGTCTTCATTAGCTTCTCTTCAATAACTCGTACTTGTACCTCCCGATAACAATGAAACAAGAACTCCAATAGTTCATGCCGAAGAAGAAAAATTCAAACCAAATCACCAAACTGAATACAATATTTTAGAACCAAATTCATTTGTGGGTCCCATTGTTATCTTTCTGGCAATATATATAAGACACAGAAAAATAAAAATGCAAATTTTCAAAAGAAGTGCAGTCCGATATGTAAGAAGCTACTAAAACACGCATACAAGTTCTCCAATGATCCATAAAAAGATCGCCAGAACCAAAACCTACCGAACGTCACCTGGTCACACCATATATGCACTATTTGAAGACGAGTGATCCCTATCAACAAGAGCCTTTAGGCTAACTTAAGCACACAAAACTTGGTTCATGGCTGCTTGCTGGATCCTAGTGATCTTTAGTTGCGTAGAATGCAAACAACCGAGACTCATATATGTCCTAATTCACCATGTAGCTTAGAAGTCTACGAACAATGCTGTCCAAACTCAAGCAAGCATTACCAATCTCTTTCATGTGGAACAGGATGGAATAATACAAAATTGGTAAATTACTAAACTAACCATGTCAAATTAAAACCTAAAAACCTTTCAAAATTCTTTTGGGTGGTCTACATCACTCTCGACCCTACAGTCCTAACCTGTCTTGTCTTGTCCGGTCTATGTACCAAACACACAGAGACTATTAAGGCATTATGTCCAAGAAACCACCACATTAACTTCCGGGAATTATGCTAACCTTTATAAACCACAATGTTCAGAATCATTTGAAAAATGATGGTCTATCAAGCCCAATTCATAAGAAATATATGCACAAAACACAAGAATTCTTATAACACTCTTCTATGCTATTACAATACTACCATTTATCAAAAGAATTGAATAATCCAATCGCACCTAAAAACTGAATCTACCATCTCTAGTCACCCAGAAAACGAACAGCTTAGTTTTCAAGGCATATGGAATAAACAAGCGGATATGGAATCAAAGAGCCACAAAGCTGCAGAAAATTTACTTCTAAAAGCATATCAAACAACATGATCCAGCAACTATATTGTTTTCTATCATAATCTTTGTGAACGGGAACTCCCATTTAAACTTGTTTTGCAATGCAAAGGATCATCAAGCAAGATAATAGGCATAGTTGACAGTTGAGTTATAAGTAGAAATGGGGGATCATCAAGCAAGATAATATAGTCAATTCATATCACGTTACTCCTGAAACCTTCAAAAATCAAAACAAAAGACACCATTTTAATTGATATTGATATCTTACTTGAAGCCAAGAACCATAAGGGTTCTAGAGATACTATTAGGTCAAAAAGCACTTGATTGATGCCATCTTAACTTATTAAGCCCTTTCAATTCGAGCAAGTAACACTAAAATTAGGTCTTGGAAGTTATTTGCGTAAGCTATAATCAAAAGAAGGGATGGTACATAAATTTAAAGTAGAATTGTTCTTAAATCAATAAGAAATCTTGTAAAAGGAGATAATCGTAGCATCCTCACCAGTTACCAGATGGAAGAAAAAAGAACACTTATGTTTTCCTCCGCAGACGCTTCCTCAGCTTCTTTAACTTGTGCTTGTTCATCTTCTTCTTTCTCTTTTTCTTCACACTATCAGCCCAAATCCCTTGTTCATCATTACCTGAAACAATGTCTTCTTCTTCTTCTTCTGGTACAGCAGATTGAATAAACCCAATTTGAGAAACTGGATTCAAGAAACTCTCAAATGCAAAAGTCGGGTAAAAGCATGAAGAATGATGATGAGGGTTTAATTCGTCAGTTGTTTCGGGTACGCCATTGAAGAAGGGGATCGCGGTGGCGGGTTGAACGGGTTTGGAATCGGGTAAATGGGTCGATGGGGAGAGAATTCGTTTGTTGAGATTAGCAACTAGGGTTGTGCTGGGTGATTGCTTTCTAACAAGCCTTAGGAGAAGGGAAGCCATGGATGAGAGGAAAAAGTAAGAAATTTCAGGAGGGTGAGTACGATGGATCGATAACCCAATATTGTAATTTGCTGGTTAGGGTTTTAGCGAGTTTCAAAATCAAATTACCGAAAAATAAAAAGAAAAAGAAAATAAAAAATGGTTGCCCCCATGCAGGATCGAACTACAGACCTCCAGTTTACAAGACTGGCGCTCTACCACTGAGCTATAGGGGCTTGGGTGCCAAAAGGTGGATACTAAATTATATGAATAAATGTAATTTAAATTTAGGATTTGCAAATAAAACCCTATAAAACATTCCAAAATTACTTCAAACGTATACATCAGTCTGTCTTGTTCAATCTTGTCGAATCCATTCTCATATTAAATGCACCTTCAAGTAGGAGTGTACAGAAAATCAATCGATTCAATTGAAACCGACTAATTCAGTTAGAACTGACCTTGGATATCCAATTGGATCGGATCGGATTAGATTAAAATTTTCAACAATCCAATTTAGATCGGTCGGTTCTTGGATGACAGTCCAAAATCGACCAAAACCGAACCGATCAACATCCAATTAATCATTTGATGATCATCCAGTTTGTCCATCCAACCATTATCCAATTAATTTATTTTCAAATTGCTTAAATCGGAATTTGTTTTTATGTGAGCCTTTGAATTTTTAAGTCCCCTTGTTTTGGCTTTAACACATATTAAAAGTGATTAATCAATTTTTATCATTGTTGAAGAATTGGATTGAAACATAATATATGGATTAAATCCCAACGGATCATCCATTGGATATCCGATAAAAGTATCCAATGAATGAAACCGAACCGATCCAATCATCAATTGGGTTGAATTTGGATGGGTTATCCAATGTTTATTGGATCGGGTCAGTTGGCAAAATCCAACATCCAATGGATAATTTGATCGGTTTGGTTCTCCTCACATTCAATGGATGTCAACTGATGAACAAGTTTACCCTCAAGGGCGTCATCGAATATTTCACCTAATTTATTTGGTATAAAATTTGATGTAAATAAATAATATTACATCAAATTTGGTGTCTTACTATTCATTACATCAAACTAGATGTCTTTATTAAAATGATTTGGTATGTAATATTCCATTGAAGATTGGTATAAAGGGGTGTTTGGTAAGGATTGTGATTTGCCCCTACCCAGTGGAGAACCTGACTCATCCGACCAGAACGATCATGGAGATTCTCTGCTAAAACAGGTCCCGGGGTTGGGGATCCCCGGTAGACTCAAAACGGGGGCGGGGGCCGAAGAATGTTACTCAAGGCAGGGTCGGTATACTTAAACTAACAGATATTCTTCGTGGGGTTTGACTGGGATTGATCGGGGTTTGACCGGGGATGAGATGTTAATCCCCGCACCCCGTCAGGGCTAGACGGAGTCGAGGGCTATTACCAAAAACCGAGGCTAGAGCCAGGAATTACATAACCCGTCTCATCCCTACCATGTTACCATGCCTAGTGTGTTGGTCAAAATTAAGTGTTTCTTTGAAATCAAAAGGGGGTCTAATTGATTAATGTAAATAATTTTATTATTTAAAATTTATTTAAAACAAAAACAATTTTATTAATTTATTAACTATTATAATTGAATTTTTATATAATAAAGATAACAAATACGTTTTACAATGATCAATTCATTAATCAATATAGTTGTTCTTCGTATTTTTCAAAAATACAATTTTTTCACCTTTAAATTGGTTTATATTTTAAAAAAAACGATCTAACTTTGCAGATAATCGAATTAAATATAATTCATTAAAACTGTTAAATCATCAATTAATATGATTGAAATTAAATTAGACAAACATTAGATTGAAAATAAGTGTGTTTTCTATGTATGGATATATGCAACACTTCTTTATAGGCTATTTTTTTTTAAAAGTAGAATATTAAAAGTTACAATCTTTAATAAAAAATTGCATTCAACTCCAACAATTATTTTTTTATAGCAACTCTAATACTAAGGTGGCGTTTGGTTTGCATAATGTTTTTGGATGAAATTGAATATGTTAAAAAAAATTGACTTTGGAGAAATTATAATGGAATGTTGTCAGGTTTGACCACCTGTTTGGTTGGCAGACATTGGAATGAAATCTATTAAAGAATTGGAATCTGTCTGTTTGGTTCACAAAATGTAGCTTTAGAATTGGAATAAAACATTGGTAAATGACCAAAATGCCCTTTTTTAAAAATTTTATTTTTTTAAAACTAAAAATACTTTAATAAAATAATTATTTAATATGTAAAACAATATAAAATACACAAGCCAAATATAATCGTAAGCCAAACGACGTTACTAAATCGATGGTAGTCGGCGGAGGTTCAGATGGTCGTGGTCCACAGTGATTCAGATCGATGGTGGTCCGTAGTAGTTTAGATGGAGGTAGTCAGTGGTGGTTCAGATAGGCGGTGGCGGCGATGGTTGTCCAAATCGGTGGTGGTCGGCAGTATCCGACGGTGATTCAGATCGATGGTAGTCTTTGGCGGTTGGCAGTGATATAGATCGATGGTGGTTCGTTGTGGTTCAAGTGACGATGGTCGGATGTGGTTCAGATCGACGATGAATCAGACTGGTGATGGTCAATGGTGGTTTAGATCGGCGGTGCTTCAGATCGGTAGTAGTTGGCGGTGGTTCAGATCGATGGTGGTCTGTGGTGGTTCAGATGGCGATGGTCAACAGTGGTCCAGATCGGTGGTGGTCCATGGTGGTTCAAATAGCGGTTATCAGCGGTGGTTCAGATTGATAGTGAATCAGATCAGTGATGGCTCAGATCGGCGGTGTCCGATGGTGGTTTAGATTGATAGTGGTCGGCGGTGGTTTAAATCAGCGGTGATTCATATCGGTGCTAGTCTATGGTGGTGGTCGGCGGTGGTTCATATCGGTGGTAGTCGGTGGTGGTGGTGGTGGTCGGTGGTGATTCAAATCGGTGGTAGTCGGTGGTGGTTTAGATCGGTGGTAGTTGGTGGTGGTTCATATCGATGGTAGTCGATGGTGGTGGTCGGCGATGGTTCAGATCGGTGGTAGTCGGTGGTGGTTCAAATCGGTGGTAGTCGGCAGTGGTTTAGATCGGTGGTAGTCGGTGGTGGTTCATATCGATGGTAGTCGATGGTGGTGGTTCAGATCAGTGGTAGTCGGTGGTGGTGGTCGGCGGTGGTTCAGACCGGTGGTAGTAGGCGATGGTTCAGATTGGTGGTAGTGGGCGGTGGTGGTCGACGATGGTTTAGATCGGTGTAGTCAGTGGTGGTGGTCGACGGTGGTTTAGATCGATGGTAGTCAGTGGTGGTTCAGACCAATAGTGGTCGGAGGTGGTCGACAATGGTCATATTGAGTTTTATGAGATTAAAGTATATTAGGTTAATGACATATTTGGTATAATGAAGATAGAGATTTCATTCCATCAAAATACCATGTAGTTGCTAATGAATGTTAAATTCCTTTATTTATGGAATTTGTTGGATTTTGAATATTTCTTTCGTGAAAAAGAATGAACTAAACGAGGGAATGAAATTTGGTCAATGGAATTCAACATTCCAATTCCATTAGATTTTTTCAGAATCTGCGAACCAAACGTCACCTAAGTATATTATTAAAATATTTAATACATTTAATAAAATATTTAATTCTCTTAAACATTTATTTTTAATAAATTTTATTGATGGAAAATATTAAAATAATAATTTCTTTCTTTATTTAATTTTTTTTTTAAAGTAAACATGACATAGCTGTTGAAGTAAAAGAATTACTAAAATTCTTCATTTATCTATACTATATTATAAAGTATTTGGCTAAAACTCTTAAAAACTCTTAAACCCGTTCATCTCTATCCGATTTCATCCCATATCTGAATTCGTGTAACTAACTGCAGATAAACACAATCAAATACAAGATAAATATCTCATTTTAAATATAAAAAATCT